TGTATTTAAAACAATTTATGCTTTTTGTAAAGGCGTTTATCAATTTATATGTTGTTAAATCAGAGTTTTATAAAAAAAAATTGAATTAGCTTATGTCGGTATCAAAACATAATAAGTTGTTTTTTAGTGTTTGACAAATTTTACTTATACATGTAAAATGACCAAAAGAACATTTTTTCATATTATTGACTTTTTTTTTAATTATATCAGGTCGGATCCTAATGAGATCCATTTTTCAAGAACTGGAGGATGTGAGATGGGAATTATGTTTCCATTTTGGGTTTTTGATCGGAGAACTTCAGACAAGGAGTTGAAGAAATGCCAGTAGAAGGTTCAACTACCATATGGTTGATGGAGCAACTAATGAAGATTACATTGATGAGTTCTGTCACCTGAACCGACAACAATGACAGTTTGTGACAACTGTGATCAATTGCTTTGTTGTGGTCGAAAAACGATTGAACAATCAACGACATATCAGCCGGTTCAAGAACATATGAAACCAATTGAATAAATGAATCTTGCTCCAGGGCTATTCTCAGGATTCAAGAAGATGACCAAAAGAAGGTGGGTTTTGTTGTTTGCCGGTGGATAAACGGGCGACGAGTGGTTGGAAATGAGTCAATGTTGTAGAGAGAGTCTTTGAGGTCATCCATGAATGGGTTTGTTGGATTTGATTTTTGGTTTGACGAAACAATGGGAGACGAATTCAACAGTTGGAGACTCCATTGGAGGTTGGTGAAGCTCGATGAGATTGAAATCGTGCAGATGAGATGAATAGGATGAACAAATAGGTTTTTTCGGGTGAAGGAAAAAGGTAAAAAAGTAATTTGGTTTTGAAAGCTGATAATATAATTCAAATAAGTTAAAAGAAAATAATTTATCAAAAACTTCTTATTACCGATCTCAAACCAGTATAAGTATTTCTTTTCTTTTTTTTCCATCCAAATATTAAAAACTCCTCATTACAAGTATCAACATTGAATAAGTTAATAAACAGTTTAAATAAGTAATCCCAAACATCCTTTTATGATCTAACAAAATATTTTATAAATGGGAACGATCAATGAAAAGTCAATCTCTAAACTTTGTTGAAATATTACTTATTTTGTTGTCCAAAAGTCATCATCCCCTTTTTTTCACATAAAGAAGAAGATATTTATGTTACTTTTACTCTTTTAGTGTATTTCATTTTAGAATACAAGTTCTATGAATTAGACCAAAAACAATTTGGGTCATTTTGTCTATGGTTTATTACTTAAATGTTTCGTTTGGTTTGCTGGATTAGATTGGATTCGAAAGGATTTCAAATTAAATTTCACTTCAATCTCATGTTTGGTTTGAAGAATAAATTGTAGAATTTCATTGAAATCAGACAAACATAGGATTTTGAAATCCAATGAATTGGTTGGTATTTCATGGGATTCGTATGTAATAATTGTTCAAATTGCGTTAAGAACATTTATTTATATTATAGTGCTTTTGTCATCTTATATAATTTTTGCATCAAATAGCTAAGAATATCAAAATGCACCACATATGTACTTAAATTCATATGCTATATAGAGGAGAGATGTTTTTGTTAAAAGCGAGTGACAGATACATTTTTCTTGACATCCGTTGAATAAGAACCTAAATTTGAATTTAAGGTTGTGTTTCATATGATTTTTTTTTTTTTATATATGAGTATAACATATATTTGATTTGAAATGTATTTGTTTGATAGGTAATTGAGTGTGAAATGGAAAGATAGGATGTGAGGTTAGCAAGTATTGGTTAGGGACAGAAAGATGGTACATATTTCTTAGTACAACCCATCTTTTATCATAGCCTGCATCTGCATGTACCAAAGATTCCAAAATATCAAAACATTATCTTATCTTCATGGAATGTAATCCTGCTTCAACCTCTACCACTTCATTACTTAATCATTCACCCCTTCTGCTTTTCTTTACACACTTACCCCCCACACACACACCCCCACACACACACACATATATATATATATATATAGAAGATGATGATGATATGACACATTAATTAATGTGGGTTTTAGAGAAATTGAATGAATTTAAAGAATATTTTGCATAAAACATGGGTCATGATTCATGAAACACCAGATTAGATTCTGCACAATTTTCTAAAATAACAAGTAATCACTCACTGGACCCACATCTATGCATGGACCAGATCAAACGAGATCGTCAACTGGGTCCCACCTTCCACGTGGGCCCACGCTTTTCCATCATTCATTTTCCTTTTCTTTTACTCCCCTATTTCTTTTTTCCTTTTTTTTTATTTCTTATATATTTTTAATATATATATATATATATATATATAATAGAATCGTTTGATCCCAGTCTCCTACACATAAATAACACCTAGTTGTAGAACCCAGATACAATCATGTGTCCTGATTATTATATACAGGGAGGATTTTCAAACACCATTTATAAAAACTATCTGAAAGTTTAATTTATCGTGTATTTCTAAATTACAGTCTTTTGCGCGACTTAGATTGTGGACCAACTTGCTTGCACACTGTCAAATCGTCGCACGTTTATTATACATACGATATAGACATTCACGGGTATTGTCAAATGAGAACAATGAAAAGGTTACAAACCTGAGGGAACCGATTTAAAATATTATTTTACTTTTTTTTTTATCAAATGTTAGGATTTAATATATTGTTTCGCATATATTTGTTTCATGATGTGATAGTTTGTACATGTATTTGTTTCAAAATTTGAATATTTTTTATATATATTTTTCGTTTCACTATGTGAACCATGAGAAAATTTCACATGTAATTTTTTCACAAGTGAATACAAATATATGTAAAACAATATTATAAATCATAGGTTTTTGATCAAAAAATATCATGTAAAAAATAATTTTATATCAGCTCTCAAGGGTTTGTAACCTTTTGTGGTTTTCATTTGTGATCGTCCTATATGTATATGTGTATAAATACATGTGTGTGTTTGTATATATATATGTATGCATGCATGCATGCATGTATGTATGTACTTATAGAGAGAGATGAATGAATGTTTAAATGAGAAGGCTAATTAAATATGATGATAGGGTGCGGAAAAAAATATTCTTATGTGAATTATTAAAAAGTTTTCGTTTGAAAATGCATATGTGAACTCATATATATATAATTTGTTATGTTAATTCACATATACATTTTCAAATAGATTTTTGTCAATAATTTATATATGAACATTTTCGCATGTTTTCACCATATTTAGTCTTCTTACTTGAACTTACATTTTATATACACACACACACACACTATATTATACAGAAATTGGATAAAAGTATTAAAAACAACTTCTTAATATGTACATTTTAAATGATGTGTAATCCCATAAATTTCAAATTTACAAGTAATTATTGTATAGTTATAATTTCTTAATGATTGTTTGATTTCATAAAGTTAAGGGGCTATTTACAATTTTTCTATTAAATCATGTATGGATAAATTTGTTCGTTTGGATAAAAGTGTGTTGTATAATTTTCTTTTCTTAAATCAACGGTCTGAATGATTTGGAAATGACTGTTTTACCCCTAAGTATGAATTATACCTTGTTTAGTTGAACTTTACATATACCATCAATTCATAGAAATCTACCATTATAGAAAAGATAAACATCAACACCAATTTATTATTAATTTATACAACTAATTTATCATCGGTGATTGCTTGAGACAATACAAGAATCATTGAATACAACCCATTTTGACGCATATACCACCCAACCCGAAATAGTTTTGACACCTAACCAATCCTAACTTAAAAAATTGCATTTCATGCCTCGAAACAGGAGTGCTAGAGAGGGGTAGTGATTGTTGTAGAAAGGATTCAAACCATATTACTGTAGATGCCCCAATGGAAGACAAATCGAAAAAACAAAAGAGATGAATGAAAAATCGAAGAGAAGAGAAATCAAAACTATTACAGTAGATTCCCCAATGGAAGAGAAATCGAAAAAAAAAAAAAAGAGTAAGAGATGAATGAAAAATCAAAGAGAAGAGATATCGAAATATATTACAGTGCATGCCCCAATCAAACATCGAAAAGAAGATAATTCTTCGTCTGTCTGGAAGGAGACATAGGGTGGACGAGAAAGAAGGTGCAAAGGAGACTGTAGTAGGTTCTGACTCGCCAGAAGTAAATAATCAAAAAAGGTTATACAAATAAGGTGGATAGACTATTAAGTTTTAAATAACAAACGCTAATTAAGAATCGGCCGATAAACATTCAAATACGACATACATTAATTTATATTAATAGGATAATAATAATATCATCATATTTATTTAAGAAATAAAATATTTGATAATTATAAAAATGGATGATATTTTTGAATTAAATAATGAATTGATATTTGGAATGGTATATAATATGGGTGGCAGTGGGAGCAATGGGTTGAATTATAGAGAGAGAGAGAGAGAGAGAGAGAGGGGGGATGATCAAAGCTTGTTCCCTGCTCGCTCGGCTGTGATAAAAGGTGACTTTGATTTTAGGAGAGTGTGGGCTCCACCAAACCTGACCCCAATACCTGGACTGATAAGGTTTGGGTCCCGCCTCCCCTCATTTAATATCCATATTCAAATATAATTGTTCTTAAATTGACCCATACAACACACTGCATTGACCATTGTCACAATTATCACTAATTTACTTTCAAATATACATTTTGGTTAAAATATAAATATTAAAATAATGACGTCATTGTAGATTTTCACTCTATGGTCAAAATGATGTAAGATCACTTTCAAACTGCATAGGATTGACCACAAATTTAACGGAATTTTTGCAGGAGGCTAATAAATTACCACCCAATAATGATAATCATGATTATTTCAGATAATAAATTAAATTAAAAATAATGGAACATGAATTCATAGTAAATACCAGGATGGCATCTTTTTCTTTTTTCTTTTTTTTATGACGAAAACCAATAATAATAATAAATACACCCCTGTTAATTAATAACTCTCTCCCCAAACCCTTTGAAAATAAATCCTCATAAATAATCACACAAATGAAATTTAAAAAAAATCAGCATAATTATGGGGGAAAAAATCTTGAAATTTTCCAAAATTTTGGAGCAAATCAAACCTTATGTGTGTTTTACACATCAAATCTAACAACACAATCGCCGGCGACGGAATTCAGTTAATTATGAGTGGTGGCTGGTTGTGTCATGTGGATCATCTCCGCCGCCGTGATGAGACTGAGATCCACTTGCCTGCTGTTCTGATGCCCCTGGACCGAATATTGGCCGGTAAGGATTTAGTCCGGTAAGCATGCTCAATTGACCTTCACTAAAACCACCACCACCACCATTCCCGCTGTTACCGCCAACCCCGGAGGCCAATTGCTGACTCGGCATAAGGGCAACGGGTGTCGGAAAATTCATAAAATGTAAACCAGTGGAAACGGCGCCTCTATACAAGGCGGTGTTATTCACGGTCGGGAAAGTCCAAATAGGGTCACCACTCATGCTTTGGTGTTGATTGGAATTGGCAACCATCCAAAAATTAGCTGGTATTGATGCATGATTTGCCGCCATGGAAGCTGAGCTTGATTGAAGTAGATAATTCCCCATCTGTTGTTGGTGTTGTGATGGTAACTCCGGCTCCGTCGGATGCCGACGTTTTCTTCCGATGCTCTCTTCGGTCTCCGATAACTCAACTGAATTGTCCCTCGTTTCTTGCTTCGCTTGTAACATCTGATGAAGATTCGTAGCAGACCCGAAATTCAGAAGGTTAGATGAACTATTTTCCGTTGACGATAACCCAATTCCGGGGAAGAGATTCCGATTTTGTGGGAAAGTGAAGTTGGGGTTGAAATAACCAGATCGGAGCTGGGAAGGAACGGACATGCTGGAACCCGAGCTCCGGAGTGAGATATTGAGTGAAGTAAAGTTAGCCGGGATTGTACCGGTGCCGGTGGCTGCGATGACAGCAGGTTCAGCTTGTTGAAGGAGCCACTCGATGGTTTCACCATCCGTCTTATGACCAAGCTCGCGAGTGAGCTGAAAGACCCTGGCGGCACAAAGGGCTGGCATACGGATACGGCGACCACGGCCGTCCACCTTTGTGTGGCGGTCCTTGGTGGAAGTTCTCTTAGGGGCTAATTTCTTGGATGGTTCGAGAGTGGTTGTTATTTGAAGGTTAGAAGTGTTGTTGGATAGGAGCGGAGGGTTGTTATTAGTGTCGGTGGGAGGTGTAGGGTAGCCGGAGGTGGCGGAGACGTTGGCGGAGGAGGAGCAAGCTTCGTCGTCTTTCTTTTCAAGTAATTGGAAAGGGAAGTTGGGGCGGTGGTGGAAATGATCATCACCACCATCCATGATCACATGAGACAATCTTCTCTCTCTAAACTTATATGGAGATGAATCTATGGGATGTGGGTCTGGATTTCTTTCTCTTTCAGACCATATAAAAGAAAAAAAGCTTCACTCTCTTCAAATGTCCAACTCCAAATCCTTTCAATTGTTTTGATGTATCAGACTTCACACACACACACACACACACAAAAGATATAGAGATACAGATAGAGATATAGATATAGAGAGAGAGATAGAGAGAGAGAGAGGCAAGCTTTAAGCAACAAAGATAATGAGTGGGAATTATATGGTATCCCTTTAAAACCCTAACAAAACTCAAAATATAAAAATGGTGAAAATTATATGGATAACAAAATAATTAGAGACATATATATATATATATATATATGTAACTAAAGATACTTGACCTTTTACTTTAAGATTATAGATTGATACATGTTGTTTGGTCTATTAGGGTGCGTTTGGTGCGCAGACAGGACAGGACATGACAGGACAGGACGGGACAGGACAGGACATGACAGCTATTCAGCGTTTGGTAAGACAGGACAGGACAGGACATGACTGGTTAAAATGACCGATTTACCCCTAAYGTTATTTTGCTTCTATATTAAGTTAAAATACAGGCAAATAACAAACATTCTATATGCTAATGATCAAGAGATGCGAATCGGATGCAAGACAGCAGAACCCAATCGAAATCGAAGAACCCAATCGAAATCGAAAGATACAACCAAAATTAATACAAGATGCAAGACAGCAGAACCCAATCGAAATCGAAGAACCCAATCGAAATCGAAAGATACAACCAAAATTAATACAAGATGCAAGACAACAGAACCCAATAACACAACTAATCACTTTCACAACGAATGATCATACAAGATCAATATATGAGTAGGCAATTACCATCCACAAAATTCAATATTTACATGGATTC